GGCTCGGGCACCCCAGGATGTTATACATTCTGGGAACTGGACAGGAGCGGCTGCTTGGGCGGGCTCGGGCACCCCAGGATGTTATACATTCTGGGAACTGGACAGGAGCGGCTGCTTGGGCGGGCTCGGGCATCCTAGGAACATTCTGGGAACTGGAATCAGCCACTAAAGAAATTGTAGCTGTAGGCGGTGACCCTGGGGTGGGACCTGGGGACATGGCCGGGTCAGCATAGGGACACCTGGCTCCAGCAGAGGCTCTGGTCTGTCCTGGGGTCTTTGGGGCCAGGGCTGCGGCCCTGGGCAGGCTTCCTCCAGGCGGAGGTCCTGGGGAAGTGGGGGAGCCAGGCCGGCGGCCGCCTCCCCCACTGTGTAGCCTCTAATTTGTCATCTCCCATGAAGGCGATTTGGTTCATAATTCTGAAACTCTGAAGAAAGTCGAAAGAAGCAGAGAGGCCCTCGGTGGATACGCCGAGCTTTTCTGCCGGTGCTTTGTCCCACTACTCTGGGTGGCCTGTGCTCCTCTTTAAGCCTCCGTTCGCGGGGAGGGCCTGAATCTGCCAGCTCCTCTCAGGATCTCCTTCTCTCTGGGCCCTCCCCAGCCTTAAGGAGCCTCCCAGACAGAAGGGTGGACAGAGCCACCTGGGCAGCCCAAGAGACACGCGGGAGTCCTCCTGTGGACAGCCCTGCCAGCTTCCGCCCAGCCCCAAGCTTCATTTGCATCTTGAGGAGTAAGGGGTGGTGAAATGGGAATGCTGGTCTGACTCAGCTGGTCGTGGGCATAAGTGCCGGCTGGATGGATGGCATCTCTTCCTCCTGTCTTATGTCCTGGGGTCCAGGTGCTTCCCAGGGCCATGCCCCTGCTGCTATTGCTTGCCCTAACCCTCACCCTAACCAGGACATAGACTTCCACCCGCAGGCCACTCTCTCCCTGGCCCACCATGTACCCAGCACCCAGGAGAGCTCCAGTGTTGTCTCACCAAGCCATGAATAAATCAACAGATTCACGTTGTCTGTGCTTCTCTCCAGCCCCACTGCCTTGGCCTGAGCTCAGGCCTCGCATTTCCAGCCTGGCTGGGCTGGCACTCCGGGCTTCATGCAGCCACACTCCCGTCTACCCTACCTGGTCCAGGCCCTGGGCTTTTCTTGCCTCCAGGCCTGACCTGTCCTTGGAGCCAGGCACAGGGAGGGAGACAGGCAGGGCTCCTGGGGCTTGCTGAGAATTGCCCCCAGTTCCGTGGGAGAGAGGCCAGCACCCCCGAGGGGCAGACAAGCCCCTGGGGAAGGCTGGGGGTGCAGAGTAAGGGAGGCGAGAACCCCCCAGGACCCCATCCCACCATCTCTGATTTCTCAGGCTACCTGGTTCCTGACCAGCTTCTCGACTGCCCCAGGAAGGAGGACCTGCATCTGCCAGCCCCTCTCTCAGGATCTCCCTCCTCCTGGGCTCACCTCCCAGCCATAAGGAGCCCCCTAGACAGAGGGGTGGACAGAAGCCATGTGGGCAGCCCAAGAGACACACAGGGGTCCCCGGGTTGGCAAGGCTAACTGGTTACGGACAGGTCCTTTGGGGCCCCAGCCCCTCACCAGCCTTTGGAGGAACAGCCGATGGCTCCCGCTCTCCAGGGTGTCCCTTCTGGGCTCTTACCTTATCCTTGGGGCCCCTTTTAGTACCAAGGGCCTTTCTGTCCCCCGACTCCTGTGCACAGATCCTGGAGCATCAGTCACAGCGTGACAATGGCCGTGGTTCCTTGTTCGGATGACAGACGACGGAGAGGCAGCTCACAGCCACGCTCCCTCTGCGCTCTCCCAGTCCTGGGGGGGTCAGGATGGGAAAGTTCTGACTTCTTTGGAGGAGGTCTTGTCATCGAACTCACTCTAGGGTGGGAGTACGGGTGAAGACCTCTGGCTTACACCCAGCCCTGAGCTTCATGTGCATTTTGAGGTGTAAGGGGTGGGCTGGGTGCTGGTGCCTGAGGCCCTCCCTCCTTCCCACCAGACCTTCCTTCCCAGCCGCTGAGGGAGACTGGCCTGTGGCCGTCGCCTGCCTGGTGCCAGGCCTTCCTTCCCAGCTGCTGAGGGAGAGTGGCCTGTGGCCG